CCTTTTATTCTCTCTGAAAAACAATGGGGGAAAAATCCTCATGGCTCAGTGGTTGAGCATCGACCTCTGAACCTGGAGGTCATGCTTCAATTCCCAGTCAGGGCACATGCCCAGGTTGCAGCTGAATCCCCAGAATGGGGCATGCAGGAGGCAGCCAATCAGTTATTCTCTCTCATCATTGATGTTTCTATCTCTCTCTCCCTCTCCCTCTCTGAAATCAATAAAAATATATTTAAGAGAAAAGGGGGGAAAAAAATCCTCAAGTGAGGATTAAAAAAAAAGAAGAAGAAGAAGGCTCTGATATGGTATGGGATTTATCCAAAGTCACAGTCAGCCATTCCGTTTCTCACTCTCTGCTTTGCCTTTTCCTGAATTGTCATATCGTTTAATGCAGCGGTTCTCAACCTGTGGGTCGCGACCCCTTTGGGGGTCGAACGACCCTTTCACAGGGGTCGCCTAAATACATCCTGCATATCAGATATTTACATGACGATTCATAACAGTAGCAACATTACAATTATGAAGTAGCAACAAAAATAATTTTATGGTTGGGGGTCACCACAACATGAGGAACTGTATTAAAGGGTCGCAACATTAGAAAGGTTGAGAACCACTGGTAATGGTTAACAGCATGGGCTATGGAGCGAGGCAGCCTAGATCTGAATCCCAGCCACTCACTTCCTAAAGAGTGACCTTGGGCATATGACTTCACTGCCTCAGTTTCTACATCTGCGAAATGGGATGCTATGTGATAAGTGGGATAAAGTGAGCCCTCGCTGGTTTGGCTTAGAGGATAGAGCATTGGCCTGCGGACTGAAGGGTCCCGAGTCCGATCTGGTCAAGGGCACAAGCCCGAGTTTTGAGCTCGATCCCCAGTAGGGGGCATACAGTAGGCAGCCAGTCAATGATTCCCTCTCATCATTGATGTTTCTAGCTCTCTCTCCCTCTCCCTTCCTCTCTGAAATCAATAAAAATATATTTAAAAAAATAAAAGTAATGGGATAAAGTGAAAGTAACCGCTCAGTATAAGTGCTAACCTAATTCCCTGATCCTCACAAAAGACACCAGGGTAGAAATAAGAATTCACCTGATAGTTTCAGAGGAGGTCAAGGAAGAGTGCACCTTGTTTTGGACGGAGTCTGAAGTTTAGAGGCCGAAGGAGGCGTCACTGGCAGTGGTTGGCCCACCCTGGCTAATTGCCCTGCTGCCGGGGAGCCTCCGGGCAGGTCCCAGGTCTTACGCATCTGTTTCCCCAGTGCCTGGGGCAGGGCTGGACCCGTGGTGGATAATGCTACTAATTTCACCTAATGAAGAATGAATGAATGAAAGAATCAGTGTCCAGAAAAGGCATCACTTCTCTTTGGGATCCTCCAGCCCTTGCCCCCCTCCTCCAGCACTATCCCCACCACGTGGCAGGTGTGAATACTCAATTACAATCGTTTATGGATTCTCCCATTTCATCTTTGTCAGTGCCACTCTCACCTGCCCCACTCCTCAGCACCATCCCTGTACTTTTCACCAAAGTCCCCTTTGCACATCGAGAGAGAGTGTGAAAGGGAGAAAGGAGAGAAAAGAAGAGAGAGGGGAAGAGAGACACACAGACCAACACTGACTCTACTTGCTACTTGCCTGAATTTTGTTAACTGCAAGTGAGTACTTGGAGAACTACAGCAGGCTCGGGAAAGCCCGTGTGCATGTGTGTCTGTGCGTGTGTGTTTACTCACGTGCACACGCGCACACACACGGCTTGGCCGGCTGAGAACCTGGAGCGCGGTGCGGCGTCGCGTGCCCCTCCTAAATGGGCCATGCTGTGTCAGTGCCACCACTTTCCCCAGACACAGCTTTTCCTCTGAGTCCCGCCTCCTCTACTCCCCCCTCCTCCTGCCCCAATTCCTTCTGTCTGAGAAGGAAATGCTAACCACCCGCTCCTCTTCCCCCCAAGATATGTCTGTGTGAAAGGGGAATGAGCAAGCACCACCGAGAGAACACGGGAGAGAAGAAACAGACAGGAGCTAGTAAAGATGCCTGGCTCCTGCCCCTTCCCCACCGCCTGGGAAACGGCCCTGATGCCCTTGGAGTTCCCATGGTGAGGGCAGACCACCCTGAGACCAGAGGGGTAGGGGCGAGGTTGAGGAGGGAGGCGTGAAAGCAGCCTTGTTCCAGTTCACACTTCTCTCTGGCAAGGAGCCCGTGCCTGTGGCAGTGATGAGCAGCCGGGACCCAGGACCCGTTGCCCGTCCAGAAGGACACGGCTCTGCCCGGCCAGCGGGGAGCTTCGCAGTCCCCAGAGCATGACTCGCGGCGGCCTCTCCCTAGAAAGTTGTGTGGTGCTGATTTGACACTGAAAAACAATCTCATTTTAAAAGGTTGGTTTCCTTTCGTCCAGAGGCCACCTGTACCCAAATTAGCTGGGCGCCCAGCATCTCAGAGATGCATTGGGCCCAACCATATGAAGTTGCCGTTTCTGTGGGTCAGAAGCACTTAAATATCAGCAATTTCCTGTGGTCCAACCGAATAAATATGCCATTGATTTTAATTCCAAAATGAAGATTGGTCTGTGTGTGTGCACAGAGTAAAACACCTCTTCAGAACAGAAAGGGGAAAAAGCGTGGACTTGAGAGACAGAAAATCTGGATTTGAATATGAGCGTCGCCGTTGTAATAGCTGTGAGTTCCTTAACTTTTTAGGGCCTCAGTTCTCTTACCTGTAATCCCTTCTTCACAAGGTAGAGAAAGACATGAAAAAATGGATGAGAAAATGCTTTCCACTGGCAAGTCTCCACATAGCTGGGAGGTCCTGTATGTGTGTGTGTTTATATATGTGTGTGTACACATACAATTAAAAAAAAGAGAGAGAGAGAGGGAGAGAGAGAAACATCGATGTGAAAGAGAAACATGGTCGATTGTTTCCGGTATACACCCAGACTGGATACCGAACCTGAAACCTGGGCATGTGCCCTGATCAGGAATCAAACCAGCGACCTCCTGGTGCACAGGATGACCCTCAGCCAACTGAGCCACACCAACCAAGGCCAGTCTTTTATCTGAATAAACTCTGCCTGTATCTGCACAGAGAAAGATCAGAAAATGTGTCCCTTTGGCTCTAGATAAATAATAGAAAAATGTTTGACACTTGTGTGCTCAGGACTACCTGATTAAATGAGAGGTTTCGCCTTAAATCAAAGCCTGTCTTATTTTACATAAAAACACGTGGAATTTCAAAAAGCTTGCAGTTTACACCCACGGATTAAACTCAGAAACTGTTTCAACAAAAGGCCTGGATGCCACAGTCCAGACTTCTCATTTTAAACACCGGAAGCATGGAGATGCACATAATTGAATAATTTATTAATTGCCTTTTGCTGAGGGCTCTAGGCCAGATTTCCATTTTTGAATATGCCAGATATTTGCTCACACTTTGCTCCATGTGATAGATGTTTTCCTTAAATGTTGGAGGCCTGAATTTTCACGAATTGAATCATATTGTCAAAGCACAAGGCAAGACTGTTGTCAAAATGTCACCAACAAATTCTGTGTCGTAAGGTTCACTCTATTAAGTAAAACTCCTATTGTAGGACAGATTCTCCCTAATTTATCTGTGTCATGCTTTCCCGTCTCCTGTGTTGGTTTTTCTTGAAGTCATTAAACAAGAAACTGTTTCTGCCCAGGATATGGAACGGAAGCTTCCTGCCTGAGTGTCAGCCTCTGAGCGCTTAACCGGGTGGGTGAGCAAGGTGCCCAGGGTACCGGTGACTGCCTTGGGTGCCATCGCACCTACAGGGCTCTGGGAGAGAGTGAAATTAAAAGGTTTGTATTCCCCAGGGGTCCACAGGCTTTTCAACATTTATCACAGCAGGAGTGCTGGCTGTGTGTGTATGAGATGGTTTTTCTTCTCTCCTGTTGTTTAACTGCACTCATTTTATTAGAGGGAATAATGGGCCGGGAAAATGAGGCAGCTGGTGAGAAGGGGTGGCTTTCTAGCTTAACCCCTCAGCTGCTGGGAGACTGGTCATTTATATGACATTTGCTCAGCTTTGGGGGAAACTGAGGCAGCCAGCAGGGACAGACAGACAGAACATGGCCCTGGCCCAGAAGTATGGGCAGACAGAGCCCTGCACCGGGAATCCTTTCAATCTCGCCATGAACTCACTGTGTATGACCTTGAACTAGCCCTCCTGGACCCTCAGTCTCTTCTCAGTTAAAGTGCAGGGCAGAGGGTGTGACTGGGTCAGCGTGGCAAACCCCAGAGCCTTCGGGGACCAGGCCGGTATTGTACATGAAGCTGGCCTGGGGAGCACTGTACCAAAACCGGGGCTCCCAGCTCTCCACTTAAGGTCATTGGGGTTCAGAAGTTTTAATGCCATTGTGCAGGGCAAACTCACCATCTTTGCCTCAGATCTAGGTACTGGTATCAGGCAGTGGCATGTACTATGTGCCAGGCATGTTTTTTGTGCTTTATATGTGTCAACTCATTTCACCTTCACAGCAACCCAGTGAGGTTGGTAATTGACATGGGCACTATGGTTATATTGTTTTTGCAAACTTACAAATGAGGGACACTAGCAAAAAAGGAGTTCTGAGCCACCCCTCCCACATGGTCTTCCCAGACCCAGAATATGAATGGTGTTTCCTAAGACAGATCCCAGATGGTGAGATGGGGCATGGACCTCAGCAGGCAGAGAGAGCAGCCAATACTAGACTTACTTTGTTTGATGTTATCACCCAGAACTCAGTGAAAGAGATACTGTGTTCGGGTAAAATATTCAGAGGTTTTTATAAGGAAAAGCAATGCTAGAAGTGTTCTGTATCACTTTTGTTTTATTTGGTGGTTTTTTTAAACATTTTTATTGATTTCAGAGAGGAAGGGATAGGAAGAGAGATATAGAAACGTCAGTGATAAGAATCATTGATCAGCTGCCTCTTGCACTCCCCCTACTGGGGATGGAGCCCACAAGCAGGTCATGTGCCCTGACCAGGAATCGAACCTTGACCTCCTGGTTCATGGGTCGACGCTCAACTACTGAGCCACACTAGTTGGGCTCACTTTTGTTTTTAATTGTGGTAAATATACATAAATTATAATATAGCATCTTAACCATTTTTAAGTGTGCATTCAGTGGGACTAAGTACATTTGCGTCATTGTGCAACCATCACCACCATCCATCCACAACTCTTTTCATCTTGCAAAACTGATACTCTATAACCCTAAAACACTCCCCATTCCTCCCTCCTCCCAGCCCGTGGCAACCACCATTCTACTTTCTGTTTCTATGAATTTGGCTATTCTAGGTGCCTCATATAAGTGGAATCATACAATATTTGTCCTTTTGTGACTGGCTCCTTTCATTTATCATAATCTGCTCACTGTCCATTGAAGTGTATAGTATGTATCAGAATTTTCTTCCTTTTTAAGGCTGAATAATACTCCACTTGGATGGATAAACCATATTTTGTTTCTCCATTTATCTGTTGGTGGACACTTGGCTGTTGTGAATAATACTGCTATGAACATGGTGTCACTTTTAAGGGAGAATTAAGATCCCTGATGGATGGTTAGCACGGAGAGGCAAAGCCTGGCCGGACAGTAGCAGGACGAGCTTTTCGGTGATTAGTTCACAGGCTGCCCAGGGGGTGGTGAGCTCCCTGTCACAGGCCATTTTGGCAGCGGGTGTACCATTTAGGAGAAGATGGTCCATCAGGTGACTCCCAAGGCCGTGCCCATCCTGGAGAGGAGCTGAGGGCTGCCCAGCATCGGCTAACTGAGCTAGTTCCGAAAGGGTTGCCAGGTCAGTGGAGGGCACCAATTCGTTTGGTTCCCTGTCTCCTGGGGAGGCTTTTCTGTGGGCAGACACCCGGAGAGGACCACGTTGTCCTGCCATCTGCTTCTTAGCATAGAACCTGTCAGTGAGCGAAGGTTAGACTTTCCCCACCTAAAAGGGGCCGTGTGTTGCCCGTCTTGCCTTTTGTGAAGCAGGGCTTGCCGGTCAGTGAGGAATAATGGGGGGGGAGGGCGATGATGGGCAAGAAGCCCAATGCCCAGGGATTTCTCCCTCTTTTTTGGCAGCTTCCCTGCATCCCGCTCACTCCCCCGAAGCTCCCATAGACACTATTGAATGTGCCAGTGTTCAGGGCCTCTGTGAAGTTTAACACGTGTCCCCCACTGTCAAAGGAGTGCGAGACGTGCCCCTCAGCTGGGCCTGGGCCAGGCCGCAAAGGAGGCAGAGTGGGTGGGGAGGGAACAGAAGCCCCTGGCTGTAGCCGGTGGCCTCCTTCCCTCGGTCTGATGTGTTCCCCAAGACCCCGGCTCCTCTCTGTGTCTGCGCGTCACGCTTTGGTAAATGGAGTAGAGCTTTGAATGCACCGCAGGGGTGCCCCTCACAGGAGCCCTGTGGCGAAGGCTTTTGTAAAGTGAAAAATCCTTTTGTAAGGTGAATAATTGTACTCCGTTCGTCGCCTGTAGAGGTTCTGCGTGTTCGGAGATTCTCAGGGGAAAGGGATTTGTTTGGAGGCCGTCTGCCCACCTCCTCCCGATGCCCAATGCTAGAGCATCCCCTTCAAGTGATGGGAAGCCCCGTGTGAAGCCCTCAGTGATGGGAAACTCACCATCCCCCCAAGATGGATCAATCCATCTTTGGGCAGCTCTGCTTAGTAGAAATGGAAACTTACCCTGAGCTAAAAAAAAAAAAAAAATCTTTGTGTGAATCGATCCGACTGTCACTGCCTGCCTTCACTCCCTCTGAAGATGATGGGAGACGGACATCTAGAAGTCTTCTTGACTGCCTGCCTCCTGACTCAGAAACAGAGGTTATAGTCTGCTCCAGTCACTAACCTTTGCTTTTCTTCTGCTCCCATAGAGATAGATGCCTCTCATGAAATACCTGATAGCTTGCACTGTAGGCCTACCTTTGGGAGTCCACTGCATCTCCGCCTCCTGAAATGGGACACAACGGTTTAACGGGACTACCGCCACCAGACTGAGGCTGGTTTAATGAGATACAGAACAGTCCACCCTGGGGTCGGAAGAGTGCAAAGGGACCACTCGGTCTCTCACTCGGTCCTCAGAACACAGCAGAGGAGTGGTCTGATCTGGAACTAATGGAACTCTCTCCTCTTTTTCAACTTCTGGAATGTGAAACTTCCAGGGAAGTCTCAGAGAAGGGAACTATAGGGGTTCAGAATGAGTCACCCCAAGATGGGCCTCTGAGGTACGCAGATTGCTTTGAGCTAAAGGCAACTTTAGCTGCGGGCCGAAGAGAAACTTACACTCCTCCCTTAACTACCTAGAAGAACTTGAATGAGGGACCTTGCCCATAATAAGAGATCATCCGAGGTAACCTCCTTTGATCTATCTATAGAGCAGGACACACTTCTGTTTATCACCTGCAATGACCCTTGGGAGCCCGCAAGCCACCTGACCTCATCCTGGCTCAGGACATCTTACACACCCATGTGCCTTTCCTATCTTTGAACCTCTCGTGCATGTGGGGTCTCTGACTCTCATGTATGCTGGCTTCCCGTTCATATGTTCCCGTTTCAAATTTGGTTATTTTCTCTTTCTTAAAAAAAAAAAAAAATCTCACCGAAGTTTTCATCCATCGAGTCTTCTGCTTGCAGGTTACCTGAATGCGCCCTTTCTTGTGTTGACTCACTTGACACCTGACAACAGTGAACTTAACCTCTGAGTCTTCTCTTCAGTCCTTCCTCATATGCAGGATTTTGAGTTCTCTAATCATCTTGATGGTTCTGCTTGGACTTTGCTTGCTTTGCTGCCCTGCATCCCTTTGCCAGCCCGGACCTGTTTGTTGTGGGCAGCAGGAGCGGCACCAGTTGTATGACCGGTGGGGTCAGACCAAACCTGGGTTCAGCAACCTCAGTACTTGGGTTCTGGCTCGGAAAGAATTCAGAGCCAAGACCCAAGCTGTAAGAGAACATGTATTGGGTAAATTACAGAGGGAGAAAAAGTAATTCCTGGAAGCAATGGGCTTAGGAAATGAGTTATGGAGGTAAAGGAAGGGCCCTTGGAGCTTGGGGGTGAGGAAGCTAATGGTTCTGTGTTGTGTCTGGGGAAGGGAGGGAGAGGGGAAAGGGAAAGGCACCTGCATGCTCCTTGGAGGGAGGGCACGCTGGGTCCGCCCTCCTCAGGGTTTAAGGGCGGAGATTTTAGGGGAGGTTCCAGGGAAATATCTTTTAATAGAGCATTCAGCAAGTTTTCCAGGCGGGTCCTTTCAGGGTTGCGGTCCCCACTGGTTGATTGGCCGGCACCAGGACAGGGGGTCATTGTTCAGTGCAGCTGGTCCCGACACCAGTCAGTCAGCCACGGCTGGTTTGGTTGCTTATCTGGGCCTGGAGTTGAAATACAACTGAGGCCTAGATGTTCTCTCTAGGGCGGAAAGGTCAGGGGTTCCAAACCTCGTGACCATGGGTGTGGTAGGGGAAGGAAAGTCATCCAGGGAGCAGGTCCCACCCTACAGTTGGTTGTCCATTGCTAGGCACTGGGACTTTCCACTCTGGTGACCTTCTGTACCTGGCCCATATCGGTCCTTGCTCTGCTCACGTGTGTCTAACTGCCTCCCACAGACCCAGCAATTAATGCAACTCCCAGGTGGTGTCTGTGTGCCTGGGGGAGACAGAGACCCTCAGATCCCTCCGTCTGTGCCCTGCTAGTGCGGCTCCAGAGTAATACGCTTCCAACAGCAATACTCTTACCGTTGTCTAAAGTCTTAAAGCCACGCTGGTGTGATCTGTGACTAAGCCACAACCCCTCACTCAGGACTTAATGGAGATGACTTATTTATTTATTTCTTTTTAAATGTATTTTTACTCATTTCAGAGAGGAAGGGAGAGGGAGAGAAACATCAATGAAGAGAGAGAATCATTGATTGGCTGCCTCCTGCACGCCCCCAGTTGGGGACGGAGCTGGAAACCTGGGCAGGTGTCCTGACTGGGAATCGAACCGTGACCGCCTGGTTCATAGGTCTGTGCTCAACCACTGGGCCGACCGAGCGGAGATGACTTTTTTAAGTGTCAGGTTTTCTTAAGTGAGACACTTCTGCAGAGGAGAGGTCCAATCTGGAACTAATGGGACTCTCTCCTCTTTTCCTAGAACTGGTCAGGCATGAAGTGCCAATTCAAGCTGCTGCGGATGGGTGTGGCCTTGATCTGTAGTAAGTACTGACCGGCCGGCTGGGGGGAGGGAGCCCAGGCCTGGGCCTGGGCATATAAAGACAGCACAGTCCCTGCCCTTCAGGGGCTTATGGTCAAGAAAAAGGGAGGGGCTGTCAATAATGTGCAACAAAGTGGAGTGTTGTGAGAGAAGTCTGGCCCAACTCCCTACTGGGGATGTGCCCGCAACCAAGGTACATGCCCTTGACCGGAATCGAACCTGGGTCCTTTCAGTCCGCAGGCCAATGCTCTATCCACTGAGCCAAACCGGTGAGGGCCGCTCTGCTATTTCTTAACCTTTCTTAATCTTTTTATTGACATGTGATATGCAAGCGGAAAAGTGCACACAGAGTAAGTGTCCGGCTCAATGACCGGCATCCAGGTCAAGCAAAATAACTTCTTAATAACCTTTTGGGTCACGGAGTCGATCCTTTGAGATCTCCTGTTGGGAGCTAGAGACCCCATCCCTGGAAAAACGCACGTATGTGTCTGTGCATTTGCACTAAAACTAGTAGTTTTAGCAGGGTTACCAACTGCACCCCCAGGAACAGGCTGTGGGCCCTAGTCAGGAGAGGTCCATTGTACCTGCAGGGGTCATGTGGACCAAGAGAGGCAGGTGGTCACCGTGTAGCCAAGGTGTGAGCGGGCATTGCAGGCAAAAGTACAGCCTGAACCAAGACACAGGCTATGAAGGATCATGGCCTGCGAGTCGGTTGCAGATTTGACCTATGAGGTTTGAGACTGTGTGATTGTGATAAGAGATAATAGGCGTCAGCTCATGAAGGGCTTTAAATGCAAAAAGGAAGATCCTTCCTTCCATCTCACCCTCATACACCAGGAAACCACTGGAAGGTTTTAAACAAGATTTACGGACAGATTCGGGTTTAGGAGACCAGTCAGGCTGCAGTGTGGAGAAGGAGTTGCGTGTCAGGGGATGAGATCAGAGGCCGAGAGGCTCATTCTGAGATAGAAAGAGAGAGTAGTCTGAACAGAGTGAAGGGGGTAGGAAGAAAACAACAGGAACACACAGTCTCTCATTCAGTCCTCAGACCACAGCAGTGAAGAGGATATTTTTAGGCTTAATTTTCAGGGGTGCACCCGAGGCTCAGAGTTCCTTGCCCTGGGCCCCCAGCCAGAGGTGGTGCAGCCGAATTCAGAGCCAGCCCGTGCCTTTTCTAATGCCCACACGTCAGCCATGCTGAGCAGGAGCACCTGGACGGTCTCTGCCTGGGTCGGCCGCCTCCCTGGTGGGGAAGAGGAAGACTGGGCCAGAAAAGTCATGGCGAGGAGGGGCCTGTGTGGGCTCCACTTGATTCATGTCTTACAGGACTCTCTGGTCTCAGCTTCCAGTTGGAGAATCTCCACTTCCAGAGAGGAATTCCCAGCCCTAAAGCGGAGACTCTGAGCCAGGGCAATGGGGGAAGTAGAAGGGAGAGGGCAGGGGTGAGCACAGCTTCCCTGTCTGCTCAGACTCTGAGCTTGTCTATTTGCAAGGAAGGGAAGAGAAGCGTGACTCTTACTGTTTAAAAAATAACAGCTCTAGCTGGTGTGGCTCAGTGGATAGAGTGTCAGCCTGCGGACTGGAGGGTCGCAGGTTGGATTCCGGTCAAGGGCACATGCCTGGGTTGTGGGCTTGATCCCACTGTAGGGCATGCAGGAGGCAGCCGATCAGTGATTCATGTTTCTATCTCTTTCTCCCTCTCTGAAATCAATAAAAATATATTTAAAAAAAATAAAAAACAACAACTCTAAGGATCATAAAAACTAAAATGCTATTTTAGAGTGTGGGACTAAGTCTTTCAAACCTCCCCTGTGGAACCCAGGGCCTGCTAAGCAAAGGCCGGAGGATGCCCCAGGGCCTGGGGAGGAGTGGGGAGGACACAGTGCCTGTCCCTGGCTGCACCTTTTCCGCCATCTGTCGGCCATCCTTGGAGTTGCAGGGCCCATGCCAGAAGCTGAGGCAATCCGGGGAGGTGCTGGCACCCCTGGAGTGGTTAGGGTGGAGAGAGGCCCACTGGTGCATTAAATGGTAACTGAACAAGAACACAATTCCCCTCACAGGGTTTTCTTTCAATCTGTCAAATTCGCCTTGGTTTCCTCATCTGTAAAATGGAGTAAGAGTACCTGCCCTGAGTGTCCCTGAATGGTGGGTTAACAAAATGGCAATTTCCCAGCAACTATTATTTCAAGAGAGTACATCCCCATTGGATTGGCCAATCCAAGAAGTTCATGCAAGAACGATGGGTTGGAGAGTGGGGGGGAGGGGGTGGGGGGCCATTTTAGGATCTGTTAGAAACTCCAGCACTTTGCTGGGACCATTTATTTCCATTCCTTCTTTGCCCTTCTCCCCCTTCATCGCTTCCTTCCAAGCACATACGCACTGGTTCTGAGGATTTTGAAATGATACATGCAAACACTTTATAACTGTAAAGTGCTAGCACACCTTGCTTGTTATTCATGTCCTGGCAGTGTAGCCTGGTACACAGAGGCTGAGCCTCCGGGACATGTGACAGCAGGGATTCGAGGGCCTGTGGGCTTCTGCATGAGCTGTCCCCTCTGCCTGAAATGCTCTTCACTTGATAGTCACATCTCAACTCAAATGTCACCTCTTTTAAAAATCTATTATTTTATTTTTATTTATTTTTTTAGAGAAAGTGGAAGGGAGAGAGAGAGAAACACTAATGTGAGAGAGACACATCAATTGTTTGCCTCCCCCAATCAGGGCCGGGAGCCTGCAACCGAGGTACATGCCCTTGACCAGAATCAACCCCAGGACCCTGCAGTCCGCAGGCCAACGGTCTATCCACTGAGCCAAACCAACTAGGACAAAAAAATATTTTTTAATTGATTTCAGAGAGGGAGAGAGAGATAGAAACATTAATGATGAGAGAGAATCAATGATAGGCTGCCTCCTGCACACCCCACACGGGATCGAGCCCACAACCCAGGCAGATACCCTGACCAGGAATCGAACCGTGAATTCCTGGTTCATAGGTCGACGCTCAATCAACTGAGCCACGCTGGCCAAGCAAACATCACCTCTTTAGGGAGATCTTGCCTGATTCTCCAAACTAAAGAATCCCCCTCCTTACACCCAGCGTTGACTTTAAATCACTTATATTTGTTTCCCACAGAGTTCCTCTTACTGAACTGCTCTTGTGTATGTAATGCAGGTGGGTTGCCAGGTCCTATAAGCTCTGGGAGAACAGAGGCTGGTCTCTCTGCTTCACTGCCATGCGCAGAACAGAGCTCGGTCTGTGGCGAGTGGATTAACGGGTGGATGGCTGGGTGGGTGGCTTGCAAGGCCTCTCCCTCAGTCCCTGCCCAGGGGCCTCCCGTGACTTCTCTGTGCTTCCTCCCCTTGCAGTGAGCATGGAGTTCGGGCGGGCTGTGTGGCTCCGGTTCCACCCGTCGGCCTATCCCCCGTGCCCTCACCCGAGCTTCGTGGCACACTTGGGTGGCGTGGCCGTGGGCATCACCCTGGGCGTGGTGGTCCTGAGGAACTATGAGCAGAGGCTGCAGGACCAGTCGCTGTGGTGGATCTTTGTGGCCATGTACACCATCTTTGTGCTGTTCGCTGTCTTCTGGAATATCTTTGCCTACACCCTGCTGGACCTAAAGCTGCCCCCACCCCCCTGACGGCTGGAGGACCAGAGGTCGGGGAGGGGAGGGCGAAGCGGCATCAGAAAGGAGCATCTGGATTCTGTTTTCTCATCACCAGCTCAGGGAGGCCGGGAGGAGAGGACGAGAGATGCTGGGCCGACAGTGGAGGCTCTGTTCCAAAAGGCACCTGCTGGGGAAGTTGGATTGGCTACTGTTGTTTTTCTAGACTCTTCCAAAGACATTGGGCCAGCAAAGGCCTGGGGGGGCTGGAGTGGCTGTCCCTTTTGGGAGGGCTGAGAGCAGCCTCATCCTCCACCCTGCGAGACCATAGAGCAGGGGTGGGGACCCTTCTTACTGCCAACGGCCATCTGGGTATTTATAACATCATTCTCGGACCACACAAAATCAACTTAAACATCAGCATGCTAGATTTGGTCAAACACTTAACTCACCTGTAATGCCTTGGCAGGGCCAGACCAAATGTTTTCCCAGGCCTTATATGGCCCTCGGGCCGGACATTCCCCACCCCTACCATAGAGTGTAAGGAAGGCCTGAGGGGGCAGTAGCCAGGCAGGCCCTTGTCCAGCCCAGAGATAATGGCGGGCCAGGACGCGTCCCCTCTGGAGCTCTGGGAGTGGGAGAGGGCCTGGTGCCGGACATGCGGACTAGGCCCGGGGAGCCCCAGGGCCTTCCTATGCCTCTCGGTGGGCACTGGGGTGTGGCCTCTAACACCTGCAGGGGGCAGAGGAGGGAGCTTCTGTAACTCCCTGCCCTTGCCACAGGGTACCCAGCAAGAGGGAATTCATCCCACGTTCCCCCTTGGGGAAGCCCTGCTCTGGCTCATCCTCCACCCTGCGAGACCATAGAGCAGGGGTGGGGACCCTTCTTACTGCCAACGGCCATCTGGGTATTTATAACATCATTCTCGGACCACACAAAATCAACTTAAACATCAGCATGCTAGATTTGGTCAAACACTTAACTCACCTGTAATGCCTTGGCAGGGCCAGACCAAATGTTTTCCCAGGCCTTATATGGCCCTCGGGCCGGACATTCCCCACCCCTACCATAGAGTGTAAGGAAGGCCTGAGGGGGCAGTAGCCAGGCAGGCCCTTGTCCAGCCCAGAGATAATGGCGGGCCAGGACGCGTCCCCTCTGGAGCTCTGGGAGTGGGAGAGGGCCTGGTGCCGGACATGCGGACTAGGCCCGGGGAGCCCCAGGGCCTTCCTATGCCTCTCGGTGGGCACTGGGGTGTGGCCTCTAACACCTGCAGGGGGCAGAGGAGGGAGCTTCTGTAACTCCCTGCCCTTGCCACAGGGTACCCAGCAAGAGGGAATTCATCCCACGTTCCCCCTTGGGGAAGCCCTGCTTTGGACTTCTCCCTCCCTCTCTCCCCGAATGCTGGCCTTTCATGCCAAGGCCCACGCCCCGTCCCGTGCCCTGCCTTGTCTTTAGAGCCCTGCCCTGCCCCACCATTGCCCTGACCCTCCATTGTGCCTCTCCTTTGATTGTGGAGACTGTTCTGATGGTGAGCACATGGTTTGGTGGGTGGAGATGCCCATGTGATGGGACAAACAATGTGAGGCGAGTCGGAGTCCGCAGGGGAAGGTTGCCGGGGGCAGTGGGCGCCTGTGGCGGCGTCTGTGTGAGAGGAAGGAAGGGCTGAGAGGTGGGCTCCTGTGGTTCCTGAGGACCCTGGCTTTTAGCAAAGCTGCCTCTTCTTTTCCACTCCCCGTCCCTTTCATGCGTCTCCCTGGGAATCGCTGACGGTGGGAGAGTGGTCCGTGGTGGGAGGGCGGCCCCTCAGGATGCTGAGGTTTCCTCGCCTTTGCCAGCTCCCGCTCTGGTTCCCTCTGGAGTGGCCTTCGTGCTGAAAAGATTCTGTCCTGTCTCCCTTTGGAGGGGAGGAGTTTTGGGGTGCAACAGAGGCTTGGCAGGAATATGGAGGCCACGTGACTTTTGAGTTCAGGGGCACGGGAAGTTGCAGCAAAAGGAATTCCAGTTTAGGCGGAGACCTGCTTCTAGAGAAGAAATGTTGGGGTGTGGATGCGTGTCAGGTGAGGCAGCCGTAGCTCGGGTTCTCAGAGCGAGGAGGGAGCCAGGAGGTGTTCGAGTCCATCCCCACGCCCATTTCACAAGGGAATGGCTCCTGGTGGGAGCTGGTGCAGGCCCCAGGGAGGGTGGAAGGGTGGCTTTTGACAAAATGGCATTCCCTTTATACCGCTCTTGCGACTTCCAACCACTCACAGCCCCAAAGGAGGAAGAACCCAGGGCTGGGTTCATGCAGGAGCAAGGGCAGGAGTGCAGGGACTGCCTCTGCCAGCCACTTGCCCGTGAGAGCCACACCGAGGTTCGAAGTCAGCCAGGCCGGACGTTTGGGCGTCTTGGGCCACAGTGGCTTCCATCCCCAGTCATCACACAGAAAGGGGCAAGGTCTTTCTGCCCAGTTCCCCCACACCCAGCCCTTCCCCGCCTTTGCCCGCTGCTAACTAGACTGTCCATATGGCCCAGAAGCTCAGGCTGCACTTGCGCCAACTCTGCCCACTGAGGTGGGTGGACCAGGTCTGCGCTGGGCTACGTTGCCCTGAGGCACCTTCTCTGTGCCCTGCCAGCCATTCTCTGTCTCCCGAGGGAAAGGTGTAGCTGGAAGAGTCAGCTCTTTGGGAGAGGAGACTGAGCTGGGGTTGGAGAGTGAGGATGGTAGAGGGGGCCGTGGCTACTGCTAACCCTGCGTGCCTGGGGCTGACCCTCCCTGGAGCGGCAGAGGCAGCTGTCGCCCTGCTGGGGGCTGGGAGCAGGGCTCTCTGCCAGACCCTCTCCTGGCTCCTGGAGGTTCTGGGTTGTAGTTTGAGGGAGCAGAGAGCTACCCCTCCCCCTGCCTTTGTCTGGTGTGGCTTGGAGAGGGGCCTTCCTCTCTCTAGAAAGCCCTCTGAGAGGCATCCAGTTCCCTAGGGCTTAGGATGCAAGCTGTTCGGGAGAACTGCCCAAGGTGGAAGTCCCACCCACCATCCTGTACGTCTGTCCTCTGAGGTCTGAAGAGGCTCAGATTGCCCCATCCTCACCCCTCATCCACACCCCCATCCTCACCCCCATCCACACCCCCATCCTCACCCCCATCCTCACCATAGGCCCCCAGCCCAGCTGCATGTCAGCTGCTCCCTGTCCGCTGAGTGTCCAAGGGCAACTCAGAAGTTCTCCGGTCTGCTTAACAGCCATCTCACCAGCCTCTCCCAGCCATCACTTCTATTCAGGGCCATCCAGTGGTAATGACCGTCACTTCCCACTGCCCAGGTCTCTAACCCAGGGCCAGAGCCTATTTTCTGGTGAGAAAGGTTTCATTTTGGTGTAGGGCTTTCTCCTCAGCAGGTCCCTTTGCTCCCTGGCTCCCAGCACCCTGCCAGCAGCATGTCCCCGTCCTCATCCACTGTTGGCCTCCTGGCCAGTGCGCCGAAAAGTGAGGGTGGTGTGGACCTTCAGGCCATGGAGCGAAGTCAGATTTTCATCTGCCTGATACAGAAATTGAAACCTGGGGACTCTCTAAACAGCAGCCACGGACTCACTCACTCGTTAAACGGAAGAGGAATCGCAGAAGCTGGGGAAAGGAAAACAAACCTTCAAAGGAGAAATTTCGCTTTAATGACACCATTAATCATTCGTTTTTTAATTAGGAAAAGCTCCCTAATGAGGCATAATCGGACTCTCAATTTCCATGAGAACTACTCTTGCCCAGGGGATTAGGAGAGTCGTTGCTCACCATGCCCAGCCTTTCCCCAGCGTCCAATTTCATCTGCAAATAATGCAGGTTCCCCAGGTGCCCGAAGCCCTTTCCTGGCACCGGTCATGTTGCTCCCAGGGCTGGCTGGAAAACATGGATACTCCTCTGCCTTAAAAAACAGTGCCCAACGCTGAACTCTGCCCTCCCACCCCCCAAGGAAGTAAGTGGAAAACAAAAAAACCAAGCAGCAATGCTTGTTTCTAAATATTTTTGTATTGTGTACATTCTGTATATTTTTGTTGTAACATATTATTTGACCACAGATTCCATTAAAGATTTTTTTTTAAGCCATCCGTTATTCAGAAAGTGACCTGAAGGGCCTCGCCTGTTTCATCTCGGCCTGGGTCATGGCGTGTGGCCAGGGGGAGCGGGGGAAGGAGGGCAGCCATGGTGGTGGGTCTGTGATTTATATAATACAGATGGGGGTTGTTTCTTGGTGCTGGGGTTTCTGGCTTGGTGATTCTTAACCTTTCTTGAATTACTGAACTCTCTTTGAGCTGTTGATGAAAGCTATGATTTTTCTTTCCATAAAAATAGCACAGATGGACAATTTTTAAAAATATTTTTATTTATTTCAGGGAGAGGAAGCGAGAGGGAGAGAGATAGAAACATCAATGATGAGAGGAAATCATCGATCAGCTGCCTCCTGCACGCCCCACACCGGGGATCGAGCCTGCAACCCTGACAGGGGAATTGAACCATGACCTCATGCTTCATAGGGTGAAACTCAACCACCGATCCACACTGGTTGGGCCACAGATAGACAATTTTGTGTACAATTTGGGTGGGTCTGGCTGTGTATAAGGAAACCGATGCATGGCTTCGGGTCAAGAACTTCTGTGCCAGGTTTGTGGTGGGTGTCGTGCCTTCCCCTTCCACTCTTACTCTATACTCTGATGAGAGATTAATATTTTGACTAATATTATTGGAAGAATCTTCTTTGAAATTTCTTAGGTATTTCCTGCTTTCCCTAGTAGCCTAGTCTTTAGGTCTTTCTGGGGACTGTGGACACCCTGATCTTTTGGAAGGAATAGGAATGTTCTCAGAGTAGAAGGGAAACTTCCCAATTCACAAAGGGAAAAATAAGAGGCTACATGTAAAGGTAACGTCTGTGCTTGGTAAGTTTAAGGACCAAGTGGGCTTTGCATGGATGCAGCCTGAGAAAGTGAAGGTTTCCCCCCGTTTTTCTAAGCCATTGGCAGTGCATGTAGTTTGCTATTCATAACTGTTCAATTTTGTTTGAGGATGAAAGTACCCTGTTCAATTCATCATGGGAGTTTCCCGTAATGCTCTTTCCCAACAGTTTCTGTGTGTCATTTAAAAATATTTCCAAATGCTGCCGAGGTCATCCCAGAACAAACTGTAGAATACCGTTCAGGCCTAAGGTCTAAGAACCCACTTCTGTTTGGAGTGTGAACTGACTTCTCTGTAAGGGAAGTTGGGACCCTGTGTGAGCACCAGTGTTCCCCTGGGTCAGTTCTGGGCTCCCACATCTGAGGCATTTAAAAGCCAGCTCCCTGGACAGACCAAAGCTGTCCAGTTAGCTTTGCCTCTTGCCTCCTCTCACTTCCCTTGTTCCTCCATCTGCCAGATTCTCCTTCTTCCAATAACTTAATGTTTGCTGCTAGTATGAAGACAATTTACTGAGTGCTAGGCACTGGATGAAACATTTTCAATATATCATTCTCTTGCACTGTATAGATCCTTGGTGTGACGTGGATATAAATGTCCCCATAGTTACACATGAGGGAAAGACAGGGAAATTTAGTAACTTCCTGTAGCATGTGGCCTGGCTGCATTCATATCCAGAACTGCCTGGTTGTAGAACTCGCGCTCTCAGCCCTCCGGTGCTCATATAGGACTTCCACACTAAACGTGTAGAAGAGTCAGGGTGTTTGTGTCAAGGTTGTCTCACTGTATTAGGGCCATCCAGGGCCAGCAGTGAACCTTGGAACATACACTCAGTGTTCTAACAGAATCTCCCTCTTCCAAGTAGTTTACAAGAAAATCCACAGCTGTCAATTCATGACTGCTCCCGATCACCCCCTCCCCCAAAGTCCAGAATCTAGCATTATGCCAACTCAAAGATTTAAAGTCTGAGGGTCCTATTTAGGAAGTTTAGCCGTTACAGGACTGGAGCTGCCTTCCTAGGCCTCCAAGACTTTGAGGAAGCCAGCAGGGCTTTCTTTACCGAGAAGACATGGTTAGGAAAGTGTAGTCCTAGTCACCGAATCTCATTTCCCAGATGCCTGTAGGCTTTTCTGGCATCTGGTCTAAGGGATCCTCTGGTAAAGGACAGGCACCTGTCAGGGTGAATAATGAATGGGAGGAAAGGGAAGTGGCCTGGATGATGGAGTTCTACAGGTGACACTACTGGACGGTGAGTAAAATATTGCATGGAAATTCCTTACGCCCTGCCTGATGCCTCTTGCAAGATGCAGAAAGATATGTTCCAGGAGATGATTCAATTAGCATAACAATTATAATTTCCCCATAAGCTGAGAGAATCGAGCTCATTAAAAATGACTATGTTGGTGAGAAGCTAAGTTGTTTTATTATTATTATTATTACAAATATAATTATAACAGAAAAAGCAAGAAAAAAATAATTACAGATAAACTGAAACCATTTTTGATACAACATACATTTCCTGTGTGTATGTGGCACACAAATAATACATAAATGTATTACATCCTGAACAAATCCTTTTTAAAACTTTAAAAATTAATACATTAGCTTATTAAGATTTGAATACAGTACAGGTTTCTGGTCATGAGTTCTTTGAGTTTCTTTTCATGGCCAACAAGACATTCAATTCTATGTCACCATTTTCCTTGTCTACAGTAGTGATATACAGTTTATTACAGACGTTTAAAATAAGACTATTGTATACAACTGTGTAATGTAGTGAGCCCACATCACAAATTATATATAAAAGTACATATAGCCCTGGGCTAGTGTACTAAGTGGTTAGAGCCTAAAAAGAGGGTCGCAGATTCGATTCCTGGTCAAAGGCAGGTCCCTGGGTTGCAGGTTCAATCCCCAGCTCTGGGGCATGTGCGGGAGACACAAATCATCTTAATGTTTCTCACATCGATGTTTCTCTCCCTCTCCTCCTCCCTCCTTTCCTTCCTTCCACTGTCTGTAGAAATCAATGGAAAAAATATCCTTGGGTGAGAATTAACAACAACAAAAAAGTAATATAAAGAATATATACTTATACCTTGGCTATTCTTAAGTGACTTGAAGCAGACAATACATTTACTTTTAAATGCCATTTACAGCATGAATTCTTGAATGACATGTGAATTTGAAAATGAAAAATGTTTTCCAGACTCAAAATGTTGATAATTTCCAAGTGGACAACCAAGTGCATTAGAATAAGTTGGGTTCCAGGGAAGTGCCATAAAATTGCTTACTTCCCATAGTCATTCAGAATTTAATGCTATAAAAATGTTACTTGGATTTTTTTTTCTGCACTGCCTACAATCCAAGTTATTAAAGTTTAAAACCATGTGAAAGCCTTTATGAAGATCCTGAATTGTATTTCTCATTAAAGGAAAAGAAATGGCTGGGTGAGTCATGTCCCTCGACTTCTGTAGAAGACAAAGCAGGCCAATGTCAGTCATTTTGAAAGTTAACACTCAGCACTTAATGTGAATTTATATGAGTTTAGGAGACAATTTTTATGAACTTGTGTCCCTCCAAGCATCCTGAGGGCAGTGAGAACACAGACTTCCGATCATCTAAACAAAAATCATTATCAAATGGATTTATTAAAGAGCTACGCAGAACAAAGGGCAATGTGTGTAGCTACAATTGGCTTCCATGGGAATTAGAAGTGATTCTAGCTGAGGGCATTTTTAACTGATTCAGAGTAAAACAACGAGGCTTGAAAACAAACTACAAAAAAACTAAAAATCAGTGGGTAACTCTGATATGAAGAATCTGTGTTCTTTATGTTATAGTTTGCATGTAAAATGTATGTACATTGTTTCTTTGTTAACACTCTGTTTAAAAACTTAAGCATTTTCATATGTAAGAAAAAAGAAAATACAGGCTCTTGGCTAATACCTGTGAACAAATGAAGAAAAGTGATGGGGGCCACCTCTCCAGTAGCTTTCCATCAGAGATAATGTTTGATCTTGAAGTTGGGCATCTGTTTTTAAAGCTTGTTTAATTTTTTACACACTTAAAATTTATTTGCATATCGATTTAAAAGCTGGCTTCATTGTCCATGCCATTATCAATCAGACAAAGAACTATCAAGCACCCGTCAGATGCACAGATCTCTTTGAAACAGTGTCATGGTGCTAATCTGTCCTAAGACAAGGAGTATATTTTGAGAAAGAAGTATTATGATTTTTCTGAGAGCAAAAGTTGCTAAATACTGCAGCACACTCCTGAGAGAAGCACAAAATCACCTGACGTTTTTTTAAGCAACAACTCCCTGAAATCTAGAATTTATGGGACTAGCAATGTACTAAAAGTTCACAACTCTCAACACACATCTATCTAGGATTCAATGAAGACATTCCTCAGATTTTCATGTTGAATTATGTTAAATTTTAAAAATACAAAATGAAAAAAACATAGAATGCATTTCAAATCATCTTAAATAGCAATCTTATGACAATTTATAACAACTGTAATTTCAAACACCAACGCTGGAATATGCTTCACAATCCAGTTATCTCAAAATGCGATCAAAAACTTTGGGCAGGAGCTTCTTTCATAAATTCTTCAAGGACGGCTACCACATTTTTGGTTTCGGGCATTTCTTCGTGTTCCACTTTAACGATCTTCAAAAGGATATCTCCACTACCACAGTTCTTTAGGAACATGTAACATTTAAACAAAGCGTAATGATTCATTTCTGCCTGTCGGATAAATCTCTTCAAATTATTTGTGTCTTGTATGGCCTAGAAAAAGATTACCCAGTTAAATATGTGTTTCATGAGATAAAAATGATGCCTAAGAACACTTCATATCCATCCAGCTGAAAACATTTCATATGCTGCAGAGATGTTTACTTTTTATTTTAAATATTCCCATCATTGTTATCACTAATATGCTGTACCCTTGGTACAACAAAGTCTCTTACACTAGTATAAAGTAAAAATAGTTTTTAAATCTTCTAAAAATACTTTTAAAAGGTGACAACACTCCTCCCAACAAGAATTTTGAACCCTTAGGCAATAAGCCACTTTTTTTGTGCTTTCCAACTAAGATATGTCACAAATTATAAGGTTGATAATAACTGAGATATAAGCAAGCATTCAATTAACTGGAAATGCAATGATATGTATGTAGAAGCCACTAAACACATAAAGTAAATGCCTTCTGAAGATTCTAGTTTTGAGAAGGTCCTATTTAATAGACATCACAGCTAGAAAGCAGATTTGTTCCTCTGTCACTGGACCTAATTAAAATTCAGACAAAAGTTATATGTGGCGCTTGGCACACAATTAATTACCTTTAGTTTAAAGTTCTCCTTCACTTGTCGAAAAAGAAAAGGGTTACCTCCTGCAGCACCATGCAAAAAAGCCTGCATCCAATCCTCACAAAATCGGTTGCTTCCTATAAAATATTTTAGAAAAATGAAATTCTATAAAGCCCAAACATTTATTCTTTTTTCTTTCTTTCTGTTTATTTACTTTAAAATATGAGTTTTAAAATTTTTTTATTGTATTTTTTTATTTGGGGAGGGGGTTTATTGATTTCAGAGAGAGGAAGGGAGACAATGAGAGAGAATCATTCCTTGACTGCTTTCTGCATGCCTTGTATTAGGGATCAAGCCATGCAACCCAGGCACATGCCCTACCTGGAATCAAACCATGACCTCCTGGTTCATAGGTCAACACTCAGCCATTGAACAACACTGGCCGGGCTCTATTTATTTACTTTAAATTGAGGTATACATGGCATATAACATTACATTAGTTTCAAGTGTACAACATAATGATTTGATATTTGTATACATTGTGATATTCTTTATTTCTTTATTAAATAAAACACTTATAACTAATTATATAAGACTTCTATAATGGTCTAAGAAAACTGTACTACCTAGCTAAGAACACCAAAATAGCTGAAGCCCCCATGTGCTACTTCTCAACTGCATTCCCCCTTCTTTCCCATTAGAAAGGTTATCTTTCCCATGTATTCCTTTAAACTCTTGTCACGTACTTTTGTATCTCTAAGCTCTATATAGTATTATTTTGTATATGTCAAAACTTTTATGTAGTTTTCTTTTTTAAATTTTTTTTATTGTGGACAACATTACAGATGTCCCCTAATCCCCCACTGACCCCCTCCACCCAGTCTATGTATTTTTCTTTTTTTTCATATTGAAAGGAAAATAGTTTAATTAAGATTTAAGGTTCACATTATGATAAATGATAATTTTAATACACCCTTTAAATTTACTATGTATTTTTCTTTGATGGCTGTTTCACTAGTATGTTTGAGCTATATGGAGACATGTAGCTCTAGTTCATACATTTTCACTGGTATGTTCCATTGCATGAATATAGCAGTTTATCAGATAATTTTCCTGTTGATGGAAGCATTTAAGTTGCCTCCAACTCTTTGCTATTTCAAACAATGCCTTTATGAACATTTTTGTATTTGTCTCCTTGTATAAACATACAAGAGTTTTTGCCCAACCGGCATGGCTCAGTGGTTAAGTATCGACCTATGAACCTAGAGGTCACGTTCAACTCCCAGTCAGGGCACATGTCTGGTGGAGGTGATTCTCTCTCATCATTGATATTTCTATCTCTCCCTCTCCCGTCCTCTCTGAAATCAATAAAAATATATTAATATATACATACACACACGAGTTTTTTTATATACTTAGGAATGGAATTGCTAGGCATGTCATGTTTTCCATGTTTTTAGAATTGCTATTGTTTGCGGTGAGTCAGGATAAACGTGTAAAGATGCACAGGGCAGGAAGGATAAGTTTGTACTATTGGTTCAGAGTACAGAAACAGAGACAGACTCACAGGAGCCACGGGATGGCTGCTTCAGAGGTCGTGACTCACCTGCGTTGTAGAACTGAGGCTGGGAACTACTGCAGTCAATGACCACAGACTTATGCTGCTCCTCCGTCATGGCCATGCACAAAGATGTCATGGTGCCTTCGTGAATAAGGCCTTGAAGACTGGCCACACTCAGAAACCTGCCACACACACACATAGTCCTTTACCACAAATAATATTGCAGGATGGGAGCGAGAAAGCAAATTCATTCTGCACTATGGGAAATTTAAAAACCTATCAGGCCCTGGGCAGGGAGCTCAGCTGGAGCGTCGTACCAAGGTTGCAGGTCCGATCCCCAGTCAGGGCATGTACAAGAAGCAACCAATGAATGCATAAATAAGTGGAACAACAAATCGATGTTTCTCTCTAACATCAATAAAAAATAAATAAATAAATAAAAGCATAAATATCAGGCTTGCTGTGTAAAAGGTTCTTCTCTTTGCAAAACTATTCTTTACCTGTTAATGTCTCTCTTTGTTTTTTCATCTGATTCTTTAACCTCAACAGGAGTATAACTCAGAGCCTACAAGAGAAAAATAAAGCCTAAATGATACAGGTATTCCAGTTTTCCTTATGAGCAACTACTCGTGACTAAGTGTCACCTTCCCCCAAACGACCACCTGTTGATGGGTATTGCCCAGGAGCTCTCCTGAGCCTCGTGCAGCTGCTGCTCACTAACAGTCTGAAACTGGCTTTCCCACCTGGTCACATGGGACCATCCAGTCTCCGTTGCATCTACCATCACAAATATCAATGAAAAAACTGGCCATTTACTCAAGCCTTCCCAGTGTCTGGATATTTTAGTGAATTTTCATTTTTTTCCTGAATATTTTCATTAAGTTACAACACTTTGGATTTCTCTTTTCCTTCTCAAATTATTTGGAAATTACACCTCTCCCAGATCCTTTGAAAAAGTAATTATTTTAAATTGTTTTATCCTATTAGGAAGACCCACTATTTGCAATTCCACCTTAATAAAGTACCTTTAGATCCAAGTGAATAGAGGGCAAGCACTGTATGAATAATATTCGGGGGGTGGAAGGGGTAATATTAAAGAAAATGAGTAAGTCTTTAAATAATCCAAACTCTGCTCAACTGGTTCTCAGTTAAGGAAATGCTTTCGTTGGGCCACACTTACAGCGTGTAGCAAAAAGGTAAGCTGCTCCTGAAAGAGCAGAACCACCCTCTGGATCGGGCACACGACATCCTCAAACCAGCTGCTCAGGTAGGACTTGACGTGGTTCTCCAGGCCTCTTTCCTAGATCAAGAGAGAATGTCATTGCTTCAGTATAAGCCTGTACCTTAGTGGACTTAACATTTTCTTCACAATATTCTTGACAGTGAAAGAACTGTGGACAAACACCTCTTTTTTTAAGCTAACACCAACTCAAAAAAAGGAATTGATATAAAACACACTGAGAAATGTATTAAAATGAAAGACTGGATAGGGCTCTATGCTATCTCTTCACTGGGAGGAGTTGTGCATTACATGCCCATCTCCCCACAGTATACTCATTGGAGATATGCTCCTAATATCCTGTCTCCCCAGCTCCTGGCACAGTGTCTGGCACATGTATGTATTAGCTTACAAAGAGCCACTTGAATGCCTGAAGCAATGTAGGCAGTTCACTCACACAGTGAATAGGGAAGAATACAAGTTAACTTGTCAAAACACCCAAGCCCACTCCATTTGTCAGACGTGCTGCCAAGAGCACATCTGGCTTCCTGGGCTGCGCTGCTGTCTGGGGACTAGCGGAATCACTCCAGTCGGAGAGCGGCTCCCCCAGACTCAAATCCCTGGCTCGCTCCTATGCTACCCTTTTCTGCAGTGTCTTTTAAGTGCAGGATAAGTAAAAGGAGATATTACCTTATGTAATGAGTAGTAAATTTATAAGAGTTATGACTTTAAAAACTGCTAAAAGCTGAACGGATAGTTTTTTAAAAGGTATAAATAAATTAATAGATGTGGATATATATAATTCATAAAAGATCAATGAATGAAAAATAGAACATTTCTAAAAACCTTTGACGTTGAGTTCAAGGACAGTCCTACCATTGCAAGGCATGTCTCTGGTGCCAGAGGCTTCATGGACCATTAGTTCTGACCATAATACTAGTATAAATCTTATGTGCCTAGAAATCAGGAGAAGAGCACCTTTTCCTTACTTGGCATGTCACCATATACCACTGAATTTAATGGACTGAATTTTTCATGGATACAAAACATCAGAAGCAGACTTGTGAAACTTACAGCACCTATAGGACTATGTTCCCTGCTTCCCTTAACAAATACCTTCCAACTAGCCCTCCAAGCAGCGCATTTTTAGAATTTAGGTGTCATCGGTCTACCTGTATAATTTGACAAGTATAGAAGTTATAGTATGTTAATCACCTCAGTCTCAAAAAAACTATTGACTCCATCACCTTACCTCACAGCTCATGTTATTTTTCAGCCCTTGAATGTACTTGTCCAGTTCAAGCCTGAAAGTATGTTCTTAAGGAAGTAACAATGGATGAATCAAAAAGTGTCTTATCTCTCAATAGGAAATATAAAGTCTTGCAAATAACACAAACTGTACATTAAAAAGCCAAGACCAACTGGTCATATAAAGGTATGAAATCCAAGTAAATATAAGGGGTAGGAAAGCCTTTTAGAGTAGTAAGACCCCTTCTCTTGCCTCCCCACGATTTCCTTCTAGCTCAAAGACCAAAGAAAGGATATAGCTCAAGTCCTTTTTCAGACCCTCCTAAAAAACAGACCACGTACTCTGAAGGGTTATGTTCAGAGTCCATTGCTGATTCAGGAAGCAGTTTTTCTTGTTGGAAAAGGCAGTAGTAACAACCGACCCGGTAACCTGGAATTCTAGAAAAGAAAGAAAAAAGTTCTATGTATTATTCTGATAACTCATGCATCTAATTTTATGGGCTGTTCTGAACCCTGGTCATCTTGATCTGGCAATACTGTTATATTGCTAACTAGGCCAGAACTTTCCAGACTTCTTGGTTTACTCATAACAGCAGAGGAAAATGAATGTATACCATGATGGGTTTCAGCTAAAGCAGCACCTAACAAACATGGAATTTCTTTGAATTCACCTGTTTTATGGGGAAAATGCATGTCAGTTTCACTCTCGTTCATAGTACATGTCTACAAAAATATTAGCATGTTCTCTCCCGCCCCCAAACCTTCACGAATCACTGGAGCTCCAGGAAGATGCAACATGTTTACCCTGTGGCCCTATCTTTGATCTGTGGCCTCACATTCCTGAGGGGACTTGATGCCAACATCATGGTCTGAAGTGAACTACAATCAAGGTGTGTAATAGAAAGACGGCTGGAATTCAACTGAGGACACCTATATTTAAGCCTGGACGCCATGAATGTGACCAGCCTTGTGACATGAACGTCTCTGAATTTATTTCCTCATCTGAAAATGTAAGTGAGAGTATCTGCTCTATTGCCCCTTTGTAGAGAAAATGGCATCATACTTTGTGATAGCACTTCACAAACTGTACAGTGTGCAATTTGGGTTTTGGTGATTAACTCTTTTCTCCCAAGTCCAAGACTAAATCAGTACACTTCAGCGGGAAAGTCTCTGCTGTTCAATTAATTCCATCCCACAAATGTTTACGTGTGAGGCCCAGTGCTCAGGCAGGCAGAGAACAAGGATGGATTTTGCAGGTCGAGTGGGAGTTGATCTTTCGGAGTTTCTCATCACTTCTCATATTTAGCTCAGAAATAAAAACTCGGGACACAGCACATTTTACACTTACCTCAGCTCCACAGATGCAACATTACCCAGCCCTTCAAAGACGGCTCCCTTAGAAAGACGCTTAGCAATGAAACTGCGCAGCTCTGGCTCCACTTCAGATGGTAGATTAGTGTCCGCCAGGGAGAGGCTTGACAAATGAAAGACACACAGTGCTTACCAGTGGCCTATTGCATTCACACCCCGCAAGTCAGACAGATTAGTACTAAAAGCCAGAGTCCCTTTAAGGACATGAAAAAACTTTGGACTGCTGGTGCAGCTGGTGGGAGTGCGTGTCACCAAGTATGAGCTACCTCATCAAAGAGTTTAAAAGTATACTATCTTTTCACCTCATTCTGTCTAGTGTGATGACTCCATTGGGACCCCCCAGTCCACCGGCCTTACTTTTATTCCATAGTCTCTCAAGTTTCTTATCTCACTTCCCTGTCCATGGCCAGTCATTATAATCAGACCCCTGCACACAAGTCTCATTCAACCCTTTATTTTCATCTCACTGTACTTGCTTAGCAAAACTTCAGCCCTGATAGTCCAGCTCTCTATTTAGTCTGCACATGCATCTATGCAGTGGAATCTAGTTGGACAAAACAAAATTAATGATCACTAGCCTCAAGTGGGCCCAGCTCTAACTACATTTCCTGGCTCACTCATTCATTTTTCTACTCCCTAGGTCACTATTTCACACCTCCTCTTTTTTCCTCAATCCTCCATCTACCTCTTACCCATGAATAAACACTCTAACTTAGCAATCACTCAGGAGCTAAAAATAAAAATTTTAGTTTGGTTTAGGTTAGAATATAAAGTCTATAATTTGAATATGCAAGAAGAAAAGGTCTTCTATCACCAAACTTCCCAACAGATAATATGAACCCCATACTTCTCAATACTTCTCAAAGTTCTTTTGTTTTATATTATGGAAAATACATATACAAAGTAGGGAGAACAGTATAATGAACTCACATATACCCACCACCCAGTTTTAACAATTATCAGCTTATGGCCAATTTTTTTTTTTTTTTTTAGAAAGAGAGAGAGGCAGAGGCATAAAAACATTGATGAGAGAGACACACCCATTGGCTGCCTCCTGCACCCCCCCACCCCCTCCCAGGGATGGAGCCTGCAATCCAGGCATGTGCTCTGACCTGGAATCGAACTGGGGATCTCTTGGTTCATGGGTCAACACTCAACCACTGAACCATACCAACCAGGCATGGCCAATTTTGTGTCATCTGTACCCCCATGCTTGTCTGTAACCTTCCACCTTCCAGACTTATTTTGAAGCAACACTCCCCCCCAACCCCCTCCCAGGGATGGAGCCTGCAATCCAGGCATGTGCTCTGACCTGGAATCGAACTGGGGATCTCTTGGTTCATGGGTCAACACTCAACCACTGAACCATACCAACCAGGCATGGCCAATTTTGTGTCATCTGTACCCCCATGCTTGTCTGTAACCTTCCACCTTCCAGACTTATTTTGAAGCAAGTCTCTGGCATCATATCATATCATTTCAATCATAAACTTATCACAGCGTATCTCTACTTTTGCATCAAGTGTTAAGGTTCATTCATTCATTCACTTAATAAATATGTATTAAATGAACAAAAGAGAGCAATCCCTCCTGTCCTGGGGTTTATGTTTTAGTGTGCAGCAGAGGCGCTATGAAAGGGGGTATGCTAAGGGTAAAAAAGGAGGATTTTAAATGTTTTGGTACCCATACGATGTTGACCATTTACTGGAGTTCCTTTCAAGAAACTCAGAATACGCGTCCCTGGCTAACCACCTTGGGCACTATCGGTATTTGGCTCTGTCCCAGCCTTGAATGCATGAGCCAATGCGGAAATCAAGGTGAGGTTCCGAGGACACAGGTGGGCTTGATGGTTGGACTCGGGACAGCTGAGTGGAGACAGGGTCCCCACGGACACCTCGGGGCCACCGATACGATGCACGGAGGACTCACGCACAGGCATGAGTGACGGCCAAGCTCTTTTTACCTGAAGTCGTCACCAGAGGGCGTTTCTGCATTTGTGCCACTTGGGCTCCCGTCATCGCTGTCCCCTCTCGGCGGTGCCGACCTACGCGCCACAAAAGCAAGACAGCTATCATGATGGGCTCCAACCCAAACGGAACTCGGGGCGCCCCTCCAGCCTCCCCATTCAGCAAACAGGGGAGGGGCGAGCAGTCAGCTGACACGCTGCCGGAAGAAGTGCCTGTCCTCACGCCCAGGCCACTCCACGACCCAGTGCTGATGGCCCCTTCTCTCCAGGCCACATCAGGGAGAGGAAGTTCCATATCCAGAAGGGCCAAGGAATAAATCCTCTCTGAAAACCAGACGCTAAAGGGCCACGGGAGCCCAGGAGAGTCGGCCGGGCAGAGGATAACGGGGAGGGGCGGGATGGAAGACAGCGGGGCGATAACGGCAGGAAGGACGGGGGTGGAAGCTGACATGGCTGGACATGCAGGCGGGGCACCGCGCTAAACAAAGGCCGCGGCGACGAGAAGGGGCGAGGACAGGACAGGGCCGGGCCAGGGGGAGCGCAGGCGTCGCAGCAGCCAGCACTGGAGTCCCGGATCGGGGCCCGGAAGGACGGCGTGGGTTGAGGAGGGCCCTCAGGGCCGAACCCTCCGCCCGGGGAGAAGGGGCG